ATCTCTAATGCCCAAATCAAAGCATTTGCAGATACAAATGTCAAATAACTGCTTAAAAGAATTACACTTCTTAGTGAACGTGTCCGATGTTCTTTTTGCATCGGAATATTTTTCAAGTGTATGTAATTTATCCATAAGTCTTCTAATCCCAATGATTGTGCTATTTACTTCTATTGTGGGAATACTTGCTTTTAAATGAACACATTTCATTCTGTCTGCTAAAATTGAATATCTTTCTTGCAAACAATGTTCTAATACTGTTTTCTGATTATAATAGAACGCCTTAAGAACGTCTTCAAATGATTGAATTTGATTTTCAGGAATATCAACTAACTGCCCAAACAATGGGTGTTTAGTTGCACTTCGTGTACACATACTATCCATATTTAATATAAATTGTCTAAAATAATAAAAAAAATTACAACAAGTTATGTTTACATTAAACAAAAGCTGTTAAAACAATTTTTTATAAGAATTTAATCAATAAATATTCTAGTATTTACACAGACTATAATGTGTTTAGCCCTCTCCTAAATAGGCCTACATGTTAAATGAAGTGATCTTTCTACAGTCTAAACTATAGCCTACTATAGTATACATCTATAATAGCCTCCTTGAATTTTAGATTAGATCTATTATTGCAAAGAAGAAAATAAAATTACAAAATAATGTATTAGATAATTTCCTTGTTTCTAAAAAATCCAGCAAATGGTTTGTTGCTAATGTTGGTGACGAAACATGTTAATTACGTTATAAAATTTATTTCATTTCTTTTTTAGCACTTGTAGTTAGGTGCTAAACCATTTGCCAATGCATTTTAGTGAATGATTTTTAGTTGGTACGTATTTAGATTGTACCAAGAAAAAGGTTAAAATATATCAAATAAAGTAAGACTTTAATCAAAAATTGGGACCCCGAAACGTTTTATAAAAAACCTTTGAACATTATTTTCATACCGCACTGATGCCAAGACAACTTTTGTATATATATATATGAATTTATATATATATATATATATATATATATATATATATATATATATATATATACACATACACACATACATACATACATATACAAATATGTGCATATATATATATATATATATATATATACACATACACCCATACATATATATATATATATATATATATATATATATATATATATATATATATATATATATATATATATATATATATATATATATATATATATATATATATATATATACATACACACATACATATATATATATTTATATACATATATCTGTATAGATGTATATGTATATATACATGTATGTATGTATGTGTGTGTATATATATATATATATATATATATATATATATATATATATATATATATATATATATATATATATATATATATATATATATATATATATATATATATATATATATATATATATATGTATATATCTACTATAGTATATTTATATGCGCAATCGCTCACTTTTTTTGCTTGCCTAATTTAAGTGAGCGTTTTTAAAAAACGATTAGGGAATACGAAGAATAATGAATGAAAATGTTGCTGACCCATACCAAACCCTCAGTCGATGTAGCAGCACTCCACTGCGAGTCAGGCTATTTGTCAGTCGATGTATGTACTGAAGCCCCCGACAGCAGGCTATTTGACGTTAGGTAAGTATGACATCATCACGCTTACCTAACTCAGCAGTTTAAGTTATATACACATTTACACACACACATATACATATACATACACATATACTTATACATACACATACACATATATCCACAAACATACTTTTTTACTATTTTTTTATTTATATTTTTTTTTATATTAGTTTTTTTTAGTTTTTTTTTTCACTTTTTATAATTTTTTTGTTTTCCAATTTTTTTAAATCATTTTTACAACCTAAGAATATGCAGTTTTGCATATTCTTTTGATTTTTTAAGTATTTAAGTATTGTTTTTGGACCCTGGGACATAATTATAAATTCAGAACCCCGGGTTTTAGTATTCTTAATATTATAGTCATTGAATCATGTTGTAACTCTGAGAAAATGATAACGAAAATTTGTCTAAAAAAGAATTTGATAGCATATTATTTTTATATTTGAACATGAAAATCAGAGTCTGATATATATTAAGTTTTCCAAGTATAAGACTTTTATACTTGTCGTCGCATTCAAAGGATTGTTATTTTAGATAATGAATTGCTTTATAAGCATGGTTTTGCAAGTCTTGTAGTTTGACTCACTTTGTTTTATGTGTATTAACCCACACTATATTAGCATATGTGAGATGACTGTGAATTAGACTAAAATAAAGTTTTTTTCTTGAACAGAAATCATAAAACGGGCAACTTTTATATAAAATACCTATTGCAGATGATATTTTTGTTTCAATGTGTCCAATATGATTTCTCCATGATAAATTTTCATCAATATGAATACAAAGAAACTTTGCATATTTTTCCCGTTTTAGAGTTACATTGTTAATGAGCAACTCTGGAACTTTTAAAGGTAGAGTCATTGATTGATCTGTTTTATGAAATTGGATGTAGTTAGATTTTTCTCAGTTTAAGGAAAGTTTATATGCTCTAAATCATAAATTAAAATTTTCCATTTTGGTATTTATTGTTCCGAACATTGATTTTAAATTACTATGATTATAAAATAAAGTTGTGTCATCAGCATACATTATTGAAGGTACTATAGATGATGCTTTATGCATATCATTGATGTAAATTAAAAACAATAACGGTACTAAGATTGAGCCCTTAGGAACCCCACACTCAATATCAAAAAAACCTGACTCTTTGTTAATTACAAACTGCTTTCTGTTACTCAGATAATTTTTTTACCCATTTATACATTAGTCCTTTGATACCATAATGTTTTAATTTTGATAGTAAGATGTTATGGTCAACTGTATTAAATGCCTTTGAAAGATCTATAAATACTCCCAGTACATGATCCCCTTTGTCATAAAATTGAAACATTTTATTAGAAAGTTCAATGATAGCATGTTCTGTTGAGCAACTTTTTTGAAATCCAAATTGATTTTTATATAAAAGTTTGTTTAACTTCAAGTAATTATAAATTCGATTGTAGATTACTTTTTCTATCAGCGTTCTCTAAAGTAGAAAACTTTAGAGAACACTGGTAGGAGGGAAATTGGACGGTAGTTAGACATATTATTATAATCTCCATTTTTATATACAGGATTGACTTTAGCAATTTTTAGCATACCAGGAAAAGTACTATGTTCAAAAGAAGACGATATTAGATGAAATAAGGGTTTTCTAATACATTTAATGACGAATATTGCTACATTGCTAGTAATGTCATCATATCCGCATGACTTATTTCGCTTTAGTCAGAGCTTTGTTAAGTTCTTTATAGGATATTTTTTCATTTGATATACATGAAAGGGAATTTTCTCCAATAAATTCATTAAACTTCTTATTTGGCATTACTATTTTTGAAGCTAGACTGGGACAAAGATTTACAAAGTGTTTGTTAAGTTTATGGTAAATATATGATTTATTTTTAATGTATTTATTATCATAAAGTATTTTTCTAGGTATGACAAAGGATTTTTTTTCTCTCTGCCAGTTACTTCATTTATAATCAACCATTGTTTTTTATGTCTAATTTATTTTTATTTAGCAGATTAGAAAAATACACTGTTTTAGCTTGTCTAATATTTTTTTGAAAAAGCTGTTTATAGGCTTTGTACGTTTTTTCATCACCTTCATCCTTTGATTTCAAAAATTTTATATAAAGTTTTTGCTTTCGTTTAAACGATTTTATAAGATTTCTCGTAATCCATGGATTTTTTAACTCTTTTTTTTTTTTACTTCAGATGCTGTTATGGGACAGACAGTATAAAAATACATTTAAAAGTAGCCGTAAAGTTGCTAAATGCTTGATTTTGATCCTTAGCTGAATATACATTTTTCCAGGAATCCTCAAATAGTTTATTTTTTAAATTATCGAGATTTTTTTTAGTAAGGTTTCTTTTAGTGACAAGACATTTTTTATTATCACTATTAGATAGAAAATCACGTGCAATGTAAAAAATGGGGAAATGATCAAAAAAATCAGCAATTAAATTACCAGATTCAAAATCGGAATTATAAGAGTTGTTTGTTAAAATATTGTCAATGGCAGAAGAAGTTTTTTGCATAATTCTTGTTGGTTTAAAGATAAAGGAATTATATTAAATTCAAGTAATGAATCAAAAAAAGAATTAATGTTGGAAAACTTTACGTAATGTAAAGCATCTATATTTAAATCACTTGCAAAAAATATATACTTATCATGTTTACACATTCGTGATGTTATGTTTTCAAGCTATTAATAAAATTTTTTAAATTTCCACAAAGTAGTCAATATAATGAGGAAATAAGTAATGATTTGTTAGTTTTGTTCAAAACCTCTATGCATAAGGTTTCTATATGTTTATTTGTTTTGATATATGCTTTTTTTTTTTAAATTCAAATTTTATACAAATATAGATAGCAACTCCGCCTCCGATGCCGCTCACTCGTGGTTATATATATATATATATATATATATATATATATATATATATATATATATATATATATATATATATATATATATATATATATATATATATATATATATATATATATATATATATATATATATATATATATATATATATATATATATATATATATATATATATATATATATATATATATAAATATATATATATATATATATATATATATATATATATATATATATATATATATATATATATATATATATATATATATATATATATTTATATCACTTTAACCATAAATAAAGCTAATAGTTTTACATAAAAACAAGATATGTAAGATTATATTAGCAAAATCATTGAAACAAAAGTTTTAAAATTTAAAGCAATAAAAAAATAGTTTTTACATTATCTAATCTAACATAAAATGATACATTTATATAGATTAATTTTGTAAAAAAACAAACAAACCTCAAACCCATCCAAACTGGCAATTATAATGCTTTGTGCTTCAACTGATTCTACTGTGTAGTATACAACTATATTTTGTATCGTTGTTGATTTTATACCGAAAGGTAAACAAATAGCTGCTTTACTAAATATTGGTCCGGTCCAATAGACATTTTCTTTATAGACAACTGATCTTACTGCTAAGACTAACCTTTCTGCAACATCTGCTTTATCCCTTGGGTGGATACTTCCATAAGGTGAATTGTTATCAGCCAAATCCATAGCAACTGCCATAAAAGTGTTTTCTTGTTGTTTGTTTGGTACATAACCATAGCCGGCAGTTTGAAGCCAACGAAGTGTTGGGAACCCAGGTGTGGTTCCGTCGTTGAATGATGCAAGCTAAAATATAATTGTCTGTCATGTAATTTTTACGTTACTCTTAATATCAAAAAGGTAAGAAAGTTTGTAGAAAATATGTAAAAACAATGTAGGTCAACAATTTACCTGTACAAATCCAAATGGAAATTTTATATTTGTTTCTCCCCCTGTTCCGTCACTCCATTCCTTTCGCCAACCATTTATCATTGCAGGAAAAGTGCAGTTGTATCCCTCGGGGTTTATAGCGTTTTGTTCCCCTTGATACCATATCGCTCCGTAAATTGTAGTTTTTAGAAATGGAGAAATCATAGCATTCCATAAAACATTGTCGTTATTAAATGTAACAGGATATCTATTTAAAAGTATAGAACATATATTCAATTAAAAAAGAGTTATAAAAATCACTTATTTTATTGATGAACGGTGCATATTATGCCTTAATATACTTAGATGTTGCATTGCAAACTTTAAGAGTTTGAGGAGATGACCAAGACTCTATACAAGATCCTCCTTGGTTAGATGAGATTAACCCGATTGGCACTTTATAGATATCATACAGTTTCCTTCCATACATCCAGCAAACTGCAGAAAAAGATGCCACACTATCTGTAAAAATTAAAGGAAATATTTTTTATCAATAAAAATGAGTTTACGGTCACAGGCTATTACAACATAGCTTAACAATATTTGGTTATTCCTGATTGGATTAAAACCTAAGATTATAACCTAAGAAATAAATTTTAATACCACTATATGTTTTATCACAACCTTTTTGTAATTCACAAGCATCACTATTATTATAATTATATATGTTTTATCACAAACTTTTTGGTAATTCACAAGCATCACTATTATTATAATTATATATGTTTATCACAAACTTTTGTAATTCACAAGTATCACTATATGTTTTATCACAAACTTTTGTAATTCGTAAGCATTACTATATGTTTTATCACAAATTTTTGTAATTCACAAGCATCACCATTATTATGATTATATATGTTTTATCACAAACCTTTGTAATTCACAAGCATCACTATTATTATAATTATATATGTTTTATCACAAACTTTTGTAATTCACAAGCATCACTATATGTTTTATCACAAACTTTTGTAATTCACAAGCATCACTATTATTATAATTATATATGTTCTATCACAAACTTTTGTAATTCACAAGCATCACTGTTATTATAATATATACATCAATAACGCTTTGAAAAAAAATTCAAAAAATTTTTTTTTTTTATTTGAAATAAATTTTTCGGACTCATATTGATTTTGTCTTTATTTTTAAAATATAAACTTCTTATATAATATAATTAACTAATATCATAAAGTTAACTAAAAAATAAATAAACTGGCTAGAGCGCTTGCATTAGATGCAAGAGGCCCATTTTTCAAAATGAGTTCTGGGCATGTTTTATGCAATTGGTAAGGAAGGAGGCATGAACTTCTTAGCTAAATGCTCTTCCGTGGTGCTCTGTGAAGAACAAATGTTTTTATTCTCCGTTGAGATTTAATTTTGAAGTTTATTTTGTCAGATTTAAGGATCTGATTGTATTAATTTCATTAAGTAACTCTTAGATACAAAATTATCTTATTATTATTTTGCACAGTTTATTTTTAGATAAAAAGAACGCTATAAAAGTTTGTGAGTCTAATATCAAGCACTTTAATTTTGTTATCACTCTAATATATAAACGCACTTACTATGTAAAACCTAAAAAACCTGAAAAAGGAGTAAAATATGGGTCAAAATACTAATTTAAACCTAAAAGGTTTTTATTAAAAAAATAAGATAAAAAATCCGTAATCCCTAGCATGTTCTCCTTAGTTAGCCAGTCAATGTATGTACAGCTTTTATAACTTATTTTTTCAGCATGACATCATTTCTTATCAAAGTTCGCCAAGCAAATAATTAACTAAATTTGACTTGAAATTACTAAGTAAAAAATTGCCAATATTTAAATTTTAGACAAAATAACGGTACTTAATTTATTTTTCTTTCCTGAGAAGAGTGTTTTTTAAAGTTGGTGGCAATTATTGCCAAACTAATGTCAGAAAAACTGTAGAACTGTAGGTTTTTTGATATTTTTTTTATGTATAAATTGGAGAAAATGTTAAGCTTTTTTGCACATAAGAAGTAATGTTTAAGTTTCTATTTATTTTAATATAATAGCAAGAAAGATCACTATTATAGATTTACCACCTACTTCAACACATATTGGGAATAATGTGAAAAAGTCAATGTCTTAGGTTTAGTTACTGTAACAAAAGAATTTAAAATGTGAAAATAAACTATACTAATTTTTCAAAATTAAATTGTTGACTAGCCATTTAATATCACAGTTTTAGGATTTTTTGATAAAAAATGAATTTTGAAGAAAACAAATTGGATCAAGTAAGTTAACAGCATTTTGAACAAATTTATTAACAAATAGTTTAATAACAAATTTATTGACAAACCTGCAGATAGATGAGTCAGACTAGATACGTGTTGCAGAAAAGAAATACCTGTACAGTTAATAAAAGATTTGACGTTCTAAATCTGTTAGGGTTAAGGTTAAGGTCAGGGTCCGGGTCAGAGGTAACCCTAAAACTAACCTCTACGCCGCAGAAATAATTTAAAAATAGATGGCATAAAGAAAAGTGAGAACAAAAGCTAAAGCAAAATGCAAAAAAAAGGTACAAAAAATAATTACTGCATGTCTTGGCTTTGATAAAAAATCTGAACGAGCTCATCGAGTTGGTAAAAAAGACAGTAGAGAGAATCAAACAATCATGTTAAAATTACTAGACTGCGAAGATAAAGTAGATATTACGAAAAAATTCTGCTAACTAAAGAGCAAAAACATTTTCATAAATGAAGATTTTTGTTCTGATATTTTAGATACAATAAACAGGCTGTTTATTGTATCTAAAATGATATTTTAGATACAATAAACAGGCTGAAGGAAAAATTAAAACAAGAACGAGAGTTTGGTAAATATGCGGTTACCTCTTACAACATATTGATTATTCGGCACTGGAAACCTAAAGCAAGCAATCCAAAAAAACAAAGTATTTCTCTTAAGTATTTCTAACTTCAGGTTGTTTATCTTTTTCTTTTTTTCTACTTTAATTTTTTATTTTTATCGTATTTAAACAAAATAGAGGAAAATTTCATTACTAAACTTTATGATCAAAATATTGTCTTTTTAATAATGAAACGAACATTGATTATATTAATCAAAAAAAAAATTAGAAAATAAATACTACACACTTTCAGAATGTGCACAACTTCTTCAATTAGATAAAAAAAAATTTTAATTTTGAACATTAATATAAGCAGTCTTTAAAAAAATTTCGGATATTTTAAATTATTGTTAGATGAACTTAAATACGACTTTAAAATAATTAGCATTACAAAAACTTACAAAAATGATGAAACAAATTTACAATTTATACTAAATAACTATGGTTCAATTTTTTAACTACAAGAATTTAAATCAGGTAGAGGCGTGAGTATTTATGCTCACAATTCTATTAACTTTGTTTTACATAGTTATCTGTGCGTGAATGAAACTGATTTTGAGTTGTAATGCATTGAATTGATTAGCAAAACAAAACAAAGCATAGTTATTATTATCATATTTAAAAAACCATTAGGTATTTTTTAAAAGTTTAAAAATCATTTTAAAACATTTTTAACCAAAGTGAACAAAATGCGGAAGTATGTTTGCCTTGCGGGGGAATAAACATAAATTTATTAACTCTTACATCAAACAAAAATGTTAAATATTTCTTAAATTCTCTACTCCGAAATTCCTTACCAACCTTATTGCAACAATAAATATGCCGTCAGGAGTAACCGAAATCTCCTCTCACGTCTTGATAACATAATAACGAATAACTTTTGTGATGACCAATCTCGTACTGGTTTAATCAAGGATGACCTCTCTGATCATTTTCCCTATTTCTTAGTTTCTAATTCCATAATACTTAGCGGATTCCCGCCTAAAACGATTATCTATAGGCGACTGATATATGAAAACTCCTAACAAAAATTTAAAAAACCTTAAAAAAAAAATGTTATTTGTGATCTTATTAAAGAGTCGCAAGACGTTAATAATGCATACAATTTGTTAAACATTATTTCTTCAACAGTTCTGCAATTTATACAAAAGATTTCCGGAAAAAAAATTTGTCATAAAAACCAAGTCTCTTCAAACACTGTGGATGTCCGTAAGTTTACTTAAATCTTCAATAACTAAACAAAAGTTTTACAATAAATATCCAAAAAAAAAAAACGTATAAAAATAAGAAAATATACAAAAATTACAAAAATCTTTTTTCATAAAAAAAAAAAAAGTACTTCAAAATAATTTATTACGGAAAGTTGTTAGAAAGAACAAACAATAACACTCAAAAAGCATGACATGTCATTAATGATATTATCGGAAAAAACAAAAGTATGAAATATTTTTTACCAAAAAAACTTCTGATAAATGAAAAACGAATCTCTGGATAATCTTCTATGATATATATATATATATATATATATATATATATATATATATATATATATATATATATATATATATATATATATATATATATATATATACATATTCATCATAGAAGATTATCCAGAGATTGATTTTTTATTTATCACAAGTTTTTTTGGTAAAAAATATTTTATTTATATATATATATATATATATATATATATATATATATATATATATATATATATATATATATATATATATATATATATATATATATATATATACATATTCATCATAGAAGATTATCCAGAGATTGATTTTTTATTTATCACAAGTTTTTTTGGTAAAAAATAATTTATTTTTATATATATATATATATATATATATATATATATATATATATATATATATATATATATATATATATATATATATATATATATATATATATATGTATATATATATACATATTCATCATAGAAGATTATCCAGAGATTGATTTTTTATTTATCACAAGTTTTTTTGGTAAAAAATATTTTATTTATATATATATATATATATATATATATATATATATATATATATATATATATATATATATATATATATATATATATATATATATATATATGTATATATATATATATATATATATACATATATATCAAAGAAGATTATCCAGAGATTAATTTTTCATTTATCAGAAGTTTTTTTGGTAAAAAATATTTTATACTTTTGTATATATATATATATATATATATATATATATATATATATATATATATATATATATATACATATAAATTCCTTAGGAAAGTATTAATCAAAAAAAGCAAAAAAAGCTTTACAGTTAGTAAAAACATATATGTCGTATTTGGTGCTAGGAAAGATGAACCTTACAAACCTTTTCTGTGTTTACTTGGAGCATTAAATAGATATAAAACCAATTTACGTCAAATTTTAGTCTTTAAAATTATAGAATATAAGCATATAACTAATTTAGGATTGTCTCTAAAAATATTTGAATCTTATTTAAGTGAAATCTGTCATAAATACACTACATGATTATCGAAAAAAAACTTCGTTGTTCGAAAATATAGTTTGAAACTGAGGTCATACTAAATTAGGTATTGTAGATCATATCAATGGAAAACGTCCTCAGACATAGCTAACAAAAAGATAAAAAGAGTTCTCTAGATCTATTTAAAAAAGAATCTAAACAGTATTTCTAATTTATGGATTACACTTTGCTTGATTTCAAATGTTTCTTTTAAATAAAGTTAAACTCAATTATAAAAAAGATAAACTAAAAAAAAATTTATTATCAAAATCCATATAACAAAGTTTATTAACAATATTACCCTTCTCTCAGAATTGTATGTGCATGTGTCTAATATTTATTTATTTTTTTGCTATAGTAGAAAATGTAGGCAGTTAAACAATTACTAATTGCTACTTTATGTATTGAAACTTAATAAAACAATACGATATATTATTTTCTAGTTTATATATTTATCTTTTCGCAATAAAATATTTGTAAATTACAATTTTATAAAAATGTTTTTAGTGATAAGACAATATGTCTTCTATTTGCTCCAGCTACTTATTTTGTTGTTAATGTACGTATATGAAAACTGTTTTTATGCAAAACTGTATGAACTTAAATTTACTAGAAATATAATTTTAATTTACCAGTTACTTTTTATAATTGCTCAACCTTTACTTTTTGATTATATTAAGTTAAAGTGATAAATAGATTAAGTTGTCACAAGTGTGTTTTTCTTTAACAATAAAAAACAAGTAAAAAAAATGTCACTTAATTTTTTAAATATTTTAAAAAACAAAATTTTTTTTTCTTTATTTTTAAATTTTGAATTTTTTTTAAATTTTAATTTTTTTTAAATTTTATTTTTTTACATTTAAAAAAAGTTATTTATTACAGCAATAACAGCTGTATTTACAATGTTTCAATTTTAAGTAAATATTTATACATAAATGTTTAATAACTACTTTAGATTTTAACGGTTTACAAAACTAGTTTTTTCAGAAATTAGTTTCTTTGAAGAACGCTTTAAAGAATAAATATTAACTATTTATCTTTAAATAGTCTTAAGTAAATATTTAAGAAAAACGTTTTTGTTGAAAACAAAAAGGTTTTGCGTGAAATAATTTAATTTACAAATTGTGTTTCATTTTATTCAAAAAAATTTATTTTATAAGTTGAAACACATTATTTTTTACCTCTTGATGGTAGAGTCCATTGTTGCAAAATATTAGATGTCGAAATCTCTCTTATTGCTACATTTGTATAATATCGTCCTGCGGTGAATAAACGAACATTTGTGTACTTTGAAGAGATATTCAGTTCCTCATTTGAAGTAAACGCCTATATTAATATAAATAATATAACAACTTATAATAACTTACTATTGTATTTGTATTTCGCCTAAAATTAAAAAACAGATATATAAATAAGACTTTTATAGTTTTTGCTGCTATGTAAGTAATAATGTGACTAATTTTGCAAAGACTGTATATTCAGCCGTTTTTGTGTAAAAAAATAATTTTGTGACATTTTTTGTTTACAAATGTTTTTTTTTAAGAACTTTTTGAAATTTCTTATTTGAAAATAAATTTGAGAAGTGTTACAAAATAATCAAATATTGAGGCACTTGATGTATTGCTGTTGTACAACCATATTAAAATGTTATTGGTTCTTGTTGTGTGTGTATGAAAGGGTGTAGCTGCTAGATTAAAAATGTACAACGCTACATAGTAGAGCCCTGCGAAGCTTTGAAATTTTGAATCGAATCAAATCAAAATTATAATTCAAGATATGATTCGAAAATTTGTACAATTTGAATCTTTCCTGATTTTTTTTTGTTGTGGGTATTTTAGATATTCTGCGCTTTGGCGCTATCAAAGTAACGTTACTTATTGTTAAATACCTTTTTATCAGTCATTAGAAGATTAAGCAGGGCAAGAAGCATTGAAGAAGAGATTATACAACTGTTTTATTTCATTTTATTATAAAATATAAACTATTAAATAAAAAAGCTTAAATTTAGACTTCAAAATATTGATTCGAAACGTAGTTCGAATCGCGAATCAAGACCTGCTTTGATTTGAGATTCAATTCGAAATAAAAACTGCCGATTCGCAGAACCCTACTACATAGGTTTAAAATAAACATTCTTCAGAATTGTTCTAAAGAGAACTTAATGTAAGCATATGTAAAAAAGATAAGAGTATGATAAGTTTTAATTATAAATAAAGGGAAGTATTTTTTAAACAATTCAATTATAGAATAAAATAATACTCTAAAAAAAACAAATTTTTCGAGATTTTCATTTGTATACCTTGGCCCCTATTTATACAACAAAAAAATACCTTAAAATATAGAACTTACTAAATTGCATAATCGTATTGCTCTGAAGAAAAAAGCTAAAAGATCTCATAATTAACAAAACCAATTTTATCGATATGTATTAAATATAAAAGAACAATTAATATAATAAAATGTAAAAAGAACAAATTAAGCTATAAAAATTAATAAAGAAATCAAAAGGAATAAGAACATAGATAAAAAATAAATAAATAAATAAATACATATAGTTAGCAACTATACATAGTAAAATATTACTGAACGTAAGACCTTAAAAAGTTAATGTGTGTTATATAGATTTACTCTCTAAATTTTTAGTTTATTTTGTAATTTAAATGTTCTCAATGAGAAGACTATTCTTGGTCTTCTGCGAGTTTAATTACAACTAAATAGTACTATTAATATATATTATTAAACATTTTTAACGACAACGACAACCAAGTCCCTAGTAGCCCAGTGGTTCAATGGACTTGCGCATATTTTTTAAATGCATAGCCAGCGCTTTATATTATAAACCACTAATTTTTAAATTAACTATTTTAATTCACTTTTAAACGCACATGCGTAAAACAGCATTGAGAACGCTCTTTAAATATTGCATATACGTGTGGTAGACATTTATATAAACTGGAGACATTTAAATGTTATTTGTTTTTAAAATATATAAAATAATTGTTGTATAAAAAAAATAAAAAAAGTTTGCATTGTTATATATAATAATATATATTTGATCGGGGAAAAAAAAACATTGCCTTACCACTTTATACAAACCCTAAACCCAGCTCTAAATTTGACATGGTTTCATTAGAACGCGTGTCTTACAACCATTAAAAAATAAATTTACAAATACTTTATACCATTTAGAAATATGCCGAACTAAAACTAAATGAAGTATATTGCCAAAGACTCTCTAAAATGATATCCTACCCTTCCTTTATATGCGAAAGAAGTCGGGCTATCGTAAACATTAAAATAAACACATACGGTATTTTTGAGTGGAAAAACCAGCATTTTATGTAATTTATGTCATTAATATATGTTTGATACTAACACAACGTTTAAAAAGTTTGTTCCGCCGCATTCTAATAATCAAAACGAAAAGTGTTTTAATTTTTTAGGTATTTTAAAGAATTAAAAAAATTAAAAAAGTTAAAAAAACAAAAATTAAGTTTTTCCTTGTTATGATTGCTACAAAACAATTCACTTTGGACTTATTTTATTGAACTATTAATTATTATTTGTAAAGTTCTATTTACACAAACTTAAGCGATTAGAGGTAAATCCAATTAAATGTAATTGAAGATGTCAAGAGGTAAATTAGGCAATAGACGTGAAGAGGTAAATTAGGCATGTTCAGATACTAATTAAATTCTATTATCAATTTTAATGTAGTTAAACTAAATTAATTAAAAAAAAAGAATACCCATGACAACTATTTACTTGATACATCAAGAGATCATGAAAGCTATTTGCAATAGAATAATGGAAATTTTTCTGTAAAAAGTAAATCATTTTAGAAGCTGTCAAATCTTACAATATTCTTTGAGTTACTCTGCAGAATGAAACTAGTGGCAAAACCCCATTTGTCAAAAAGTTGGGTTTCAACACTTTCTTGACTGGTTCAGATGAAGAAGTATTTGTAAATTATATATTAAGTGCCCAAAAGCATGCTCTGCCTATCACAAAAATCATTTTATCCCTTTTTCTTCGTTTATACCTGATGAAAAATATCTCCTCAAACTAAACAAAAGTTTTTCTTTTAAATTTAGACGAGCTAGGACTTTAGTGTCTAAGGAAAAATAGTTTGTTATTAAATACTAGTTAGTCAAAAATTACATATTAATTTGCAGTTTATTTTCTTGCAATTTGTTTCAACTTCTAGTTTTGAACATTGGTATATGTAATTATTATGCATATGCATCTATAAGCTATAACTGCTTTTTTTAAGTTATTTTACCAAAAAATATTTACGCAAGTCAACAAATTTTTAAGCGCAGCAGGAATGGATGTTATCAAGCAAATAGTGCAGCAATGGTTTACAGACAAGAGCGTTTTTTGCAGAAAAAGATTGTTTTTGTTTTGAGATAAGAAGCAAGACTTTTTGTATAGAATCAGGCTATCTAGATTATAACTCTATATTAAAACCTAATTTATTTATATTAAAAAGGACAAGGAAAATACAACTATATTAAAGATGATAGGCAGACAAAAGCTCTAAAAATGATTATTATCAGACATGAGTCTAGCAAGACTGGCTACAAAAATTATGAGTTGTTATGTGAATACCTTGCCAATAATTTTGATAAATTTCTTATTGCAAACAAAACACAATGAAGGCCGTTTTCTGATAAGAAAAAAATAAATCAAAATGAATTATCATAATGTAAAAAAGGTGGCTGATCTCTGAATAAATACTTATTATTTTTCATCTAAATACTACTAATTTCCTCCAGCCTGTGGATGTCGGGATATTTTCCCAATTAAAAAAAACAAGGGACTTGTATATTAAAATTTATCTAGAGCAAAGAACAAGAACACGTACGTTGCTGTAAAACATTTAATTCAGTTTTTTTTCCCGTTCAAAATATCATTAGGAAAACATAGCCTCTACCTCTTTAACCCAGAAGCCTGAGATACAGAAATTTAACAAAATAGGTGGAGCATTCAAACAAGGCGTTTAAGGTGTGAAAGTATTTTGAAAGGGAAGATCGCAAGTTGATCTCATTTATAAACTTAATTGTAGGACTCAAACCTTATCTGATAAATATAGCACCAATCTTATTGAATCACTGCATTTTAATATAGAAATCATAAGCCATAAAAAACATTCTTTTTGGAGCTTCATTTGATGTAAAAACTGTGTTTTTCCATTTGCAAACAAAAGTTGTTTAATGACAAAGAAATAATGCAAGCAAAATTTCAAAGAGTTCTGTAAAGGAAAGAAACTATGTAGAGGAAAGAATTCATGTAGAATGTAATACTTATATTTCTTTTAAATATTATTGAAATAATATAGGCTATATTAAATTTACTCTGTAAATGTAAGCCCTCGCACTCTTGTTTAATATTGTTTTCCTTCAACTTGAAAATTTTTTACATAAAGCACAATTAGAAAATCTTTTTACCTCTTTCTGTCTTAATCCCATCGACATCGCTTTTTAAACAAACAGCTATAAACAAAGCCTTCCTGCATCATAACAGTTTACCTCAGCAAAAAAGATTTTCTTGCATTCTAATTAATAAAGTACTCTATAACATAGGATCTCCGATGGCAATAGACAGTTTGGTAGCTAATAGTGCATTTTAGGTCGCTCATAACTGCAATTTATACGTAATAAATGTTAATGGAGCTGTTTTATTATAATATTTGTACACAAAAATAGAAGCTTGATAAACATTTAGCTGAAACAAATTGAATATATGATGATTATCAAATAGTTCTTTTGAATTTATAAATCGATCTGCAATTAAAATTATTTTTACACAGGGTTTTTGTCTACAAAGCATCTTCTAGTTTTTCTTATACCAAGCAATATTAACTTATATTTATTATTATACTTAAAGGAAAAATAAAGAATTTTTAGGCAGTTTTAATTTCGAAGTATCACACGTATAAACGTCAATCATGACTTTCTTATTAATTTAGAGTTGATAATAAAAAGATTAGGAAGCTTAATAGAATGACTTCTTTTTCCTAAATTATTTTTTAAAAAAAGAACATTACATTTTTTTTTTTCATTGACAGCTTATTTGCCTAAAACCATTATGTTTGATTTAAAATTTTCTCGTTTACTATTTTAAATAAAACATTTATATCTTCGTTAAAGTAAAATAAATTTGTGTCATCTGCTAATAAAAATTTAAAATTTTTAAAACTTATGAAAATTGTTTATATAAATATAAAATAAAAGTAGAACTATTATTGATTTTTAGGAAACACTAAAAGCTATAATCATTCAGAAATTTTTATAGTGTTCAAAATTTCTGCAAAATTTCCGGAA